CTTTAAGGAGGGAAGCACAGGAAGGGGCCATGGGGGTGCGACTCCCTTCCCCGGGGTCGGGACTCGAAGCTGCCTTCTTTGTGCGGCTGAGCGACTGCAGCAGGCTGACCTTGCATCCCCAGCCCTCTTCTGCGCCAGCTCGGCAGTGGGGCCCTTCTGTGTACCCAAGGAACCTTCTGAGCCGGGAGGGTGGGTGGGGCGCAGTGGGCACCCGGAGAGTCTTGTACACTGGATAAAAACAAGCAGGGTCAGCTTTTACTGGAAGGCATACAATGAAAGCTTCACTGTGGTCTATCACCATTTCTAAATCATGGCATCTTTCTGACTCAGTTCACCTTTTTTGAGAGAAGTATTTAGACAGGATTTTTTTTTAAATTACTTGTATGGAGTACATTACAAAGATTTTACCTGTCAAAGAAGGAAGCAATCTATTTAAAAACACAACAAATAAGAGCACCTCCCCAAAACAAGTTAGTGATGAAAAAAAGTTGTGGAAGTATACAGAACCAAAAATGTAGCTGAAACCATATTGCAAACTAGATGAAAATTAGGATGGAGCAAGGTTACTGTTTTTAGTGTTCGGCATATATTATAGTGGAGTATTAGCTTATTCCTTGAATGCTAGATCCTTGTAATCTACCAAATTGTTGGGGCGGCTGGGAGGAGAGCCAGTCTGAGGGAAGCAAAAACAAGGTAACCTGAGTTACAGTGACAATGCAAGCGGTGTGTACGTCTTTCTGAAAGTTCTAGGCATTTCTAGAACACTTGCTAGGGATGCATCTATGGCTACTTGATAAGCCTACATGTCTTTCTTTCTCTTCAATTCTACGGAAACCTTAGGACACAAACAATAAGTATAATGAGGTTTCCAGGGAGAAGCACCAGGCGCAGACCGAAGCCCGTTCTGTGTGCCAATCCCTGCTGCATTGTCCAGTCTCCCCTGGGACCCACCGACACTGAATAAGACCTTTACAGGGGCAGCGCTGCAGGTGGGGTGCCCTGGGGTCATCGCTCTGGCATCTTTTCCCTTGCTGGGGACTGGCTCTGGCAGATGGCCTCCTTTTCCCCAGTTCTCTGAACCAACCGGACAGTCCTACAAGGCTATTGCAAAACCTACTTTGACCAGGAGGCCTCAGGGACTCCTCTTGCCTCTGACCACTGGGAGCTCTTGTTATCTCTGCCACTCCATGGCCCACTGTTACCCAAAGAGCCACCAGGTTTGCTTGCCTTCTTACAGGTGCCAGGGAGGGTATTTCATACCCAATCTCATTGGATCATTACAGCGCATCATTGCAGCACACCTGATAGTTAGGATGTCAGGTCCTCAAATAAGTGTTGTCATTTAGTTCAAGTCATTTCACTATAACTTTGGTGGGGTGCCTGATGAGCTGAACTCTTGTTTCTATCGGTTAGCCTGTATAAAATTGCCAGTGTTGTCCTTAAAGTCTCAGGAACTATTTATGATGTTCAGTGACTACTTACTGTGTGCCCACATTGTAGTTAAGGAAAGCGAGTTCTGAAAGACCCAATAGCTTTCACAAAGTCGCGCCGTTGGCACGTGGCATCGTTCTAAATTCAGGGCAACACTCTTTCCCTGCTGCCTCCTGTTTCATGGACTGCCTTCTAAAGTTGCTTTTTAAAATAAATCTATAAATAATCATATCTTCTACCAGAGAGATCCGACATGAGAAGCGAGGCGAGGGACTGATGTGCAGAGAAAATCTTCCTGGAACCCTAATGGTATTTGCCTAAAGAATCAACCTGTGCTCAGTTGGATTCCAGATAATGAGTGTTTGTTTCGTTGAAGTTTTAAGCGTTAGCTTCCCTGCTTGTTTATGTCTTTTCAAATATTGGTCATTGTACTTGGAAGCAATGAAATGAGATGATCAGAGGGCTAGTCCTTTCTCACTCACGGTCCCCACCATCAAAGCTGCCTAGGTGAAAGCCTCTCAGTTTCCCTTCCCCGGGTTCTTTATCCCTTTGTTCCTTACCTGACACCTAGTGACACGCACCGTCACTGGAATTACTCTCTTTTTTTCAGTATAGGCTCTCTTTGTTCTCCTTAGGAAAGAAATACAGTCTCGTGGGGACAAAAATCATGAAACAGTTTAGATGATACCATCTGGTAATGAACTTGAATTGTAAAAGGCTCCATCCTTCCATTGACTATAGAGACAGTTTGGTGGAAAACAAAAAGCAGAAGGAATCTTTGTGGGTCTTGCTGGCATCCCCAATATTTCTCCAGTTAAAGAGGGCAATTTTCTGCCCCCCAAAAGTGTGAGGTGACTCTGACTTTCTCTCTGAGTTTCAGTTCTGAAAGCCTGACATCGGCTTCACTTTATCCAAACCTTCGTTTCCTCCACAAGGGTCTGTGTGCAGACAAAGTTGGGGCTGCCTGCTTGGGGTACTGGAGGACCCATGGGGGGGGTCCATTAGGGCTCCATTTTATACCAATATCCTCCCCATGTATGGTGGTTACATCTGACTCATGGAGCAGTTTGTCCGTAGTCAGAGCCTCATAGAGTTCGATACCGCTGCTATCTCCATGTTACAGCTATGGCAACTGAGGTGCAGAGATGGTAAATAACTTGCCCGGGGAAACACAGCTAGTTAGTGATAGGGGCCCGGATTTTCAGCTCAAGCAAGCTGGCTCCCATGTGTGTGTTCTTGACCACTCCATCCGAGTCCCGTTTTACTTTAAAAGACTAGTCACCCAGTAAGGAAAATCTAGTCACCAGAAAGGGGCGATCAATACGCTGGCAGCAAGCTTGGAGCAGAGTTTCATTGAGTCCCCCTTCACGTGTCTCGGGGGTTAATTCCATTTGCTGACCTTCACCGAGTGTTTTCGTTAACATTCTGGAGAGCACTCCCTTCCCAGCCTAGCATGAAACCAAAATGCTCATGTGCAAAAGCGCTGTCCGTCTCTAGAATATGGAAATGTCTCACTTATGGATTCTGCATTTGGCTGTGGCTTCTTTAATTTGCCACGCAGAGCACTGCTCCTGAATCACGCCGCACAGGCTGCTCTGCTTCCAGGACCGCAGTAGCCAAAACAGCAACACGGGCTGAAAAGCATGGACCAGGGGAAGCTTCCCACCCAAAGGGGAACCCCGGGCTTCCCTGGGGCTATCTCACTGACCTCCTGGGCGAGCTCCCGGGTCTCCGTATTTTTCTTTAAGGGTGTGGCTCAGCCTCCACGGGCCAACCAGTCTCATTCTGGCAGAGAACCTAATTTGGGGATAAGGGTTGAACATGCGTTGCCTTTATTATTGTCACTCGGGCCTGGGAAATGCTTGTGTTGATAACTACAAGCAGTTGTGCCTCAGAAGATCACTCGAGCGAGGGCAGGGGCAGGTGTGGGGGCGACTTGAAAGACAGGGGAGGGGAGCACTTTGATTCAATCAGTCAATTTTATATGATTATCTAACCACTATGCTGTAGCCTGAAACTAAGACTAAATAACATTGAGTGTAAAGGGTAAGTGAAAAATAAAAAAGGTTAAAAAGTTAAACACTCAGTACCCCACTGGGAAAAAAAACGGGAATCCAAACACATGCAGCCTTGTTTGGGGAAGTTTTGATTAAAAAAAAACCATGAAGTTTGATGTATTCATTCAGGGAGGACAGGAAGCTGTTGCTTTATGAGTATTTTATTTAAACTTTAAAACTGCTCATGTACTTTGGTTCCTACTTCTTTTTAAATAGGATTTTAAGGGGAAGAACTCAAGTACATTTGCTTACTTACCATTAGAGTCTTTATGTGGAGCAGAATCTTTAGATTTTTAAAAGGGCAGTTTCCCAAAGTATTAAAACATGTGCTTTAATATGTGTTAGACAGTGTTTCGAAGGCCTTTATTTTTATTAACCAGTTCAATCCCTGCTTTATATATGGGGAAATTCAGGAACCAAAAGGTAAGAAACTTGTGCAGAGTCAGGGCATAGCTCGCTGGCGTTTGGGGTACAGCCCCGAGCAGTCTGGACTCAGAGTCACCGTCCTGGGGACAACTGCCGTGTGACTGGATAAGCTGGAGGTGGGATGACTGGGGGTGACATCAGGGTAATAAGACCTTATTTATCAAGCATCTGGTCACACATCAACGTGTTTCCATAGGTTTCCTAAACACTAGGGGTAGGTGATGTTATGTCCACTGTACAGATCAGTAAACTGAGGCTTAATGAAGGAAAGCAATTTGCGCCAGGTCTGTGTCTGCCTGCCTCTAGCCCCTACCCCTAACCAGCATGCCACACTGCCTCTGCTTCAGGTGCTGGTTATCATATTGTTACACTCTTCAGTACTAATAACAAACATGAAGTCATTCTAGCTTTGCACTGAATCAGGATCGTCACAGCTCCTCAACCAGGGAACAGTTAGTTCAGCCCCTAGTGGAATAAGATGGGGTCAGATGGGGGAGAGAACATGGAAGAAAAAACCTTATCCGCCCCCCTCCTGTCCCTGCCCCCCTTCCTAGCTTCCAGTTCCACCCTGCCGGAGGAGAAAGCACTTCTCCCTGCAGACATGACTCTGAAAACCACCACCGTGCACAGGACGTGCCTAGCCCTTCTTGAGGGCTCTTGCTGGAGCTAATCATCAGACTAGCACTCGAACGGGAGACTGTTTCTTCACACCCTTCACGGAGAATTTTCTTGCCCAGCTATTTCCTTCTTTACCCTTCTCTACCCACTCCATCTCTCAATATTCTCCAAGCTGAGCTCCCACATGGCTTAAATGCACAATATACCCGGAGTTTTGCACATGAGCACCCCCCGGGATTCAGATCTTTCCATGTGTGTGTCTGTCTCAAATTCTCCCCCACCCCCTGTGGTTTTTTCCCCATTAGGCAAATGGAAGGGCCGTGCCACCTGTTAGCATATTACATCACTGCCTCCCCAGAACACAGTTGCACCAAAGGCCTTAAACAAAGTACTTCTTCTTGTATTGTTTGCACTCAAAGAGCTGATATCATGCCAACTGATGTCATTGTGTGTCTTTGTATAACTGCTATGGCAACTGGGCAGGTGGGGAGCCTCCAGCTGATGTCATTGGGTGAGGAGGTGTAGAGACAGAATTTTAAAAAGCTGGATGCTGCTTGTTTCTGTGCGGGGGGTTTTACTGGCGTGCATTTGAAAAAAAAAAAAGCTAGCTGTTTTTAAGACAAATTACAGCTTGTGCACCCTAAATAAGAACAGAGAGAAGTTCTTTTTTTTTTTTCCTCTTCCCACCCCCTTAGAAAGTCCTTTGGAGCTCATTTTGTTGTTCTTTCCTCTCGTCTTATATAGAGAAGTATGCAACAACTGCCTTTTTCTTTGGGAAAAGAGTGAATTAGGGTTCCCATCCCAGGATCAGCGTGGCACTGTTTGCTTGGACTCGACATAGAGGCCATGCTGGGCAGATTTCAAAATAACCCTTTAGTCTCTTTGGTGGAACTTGTGACGGGGACAGTGAGTAATTTCAATTTATTTAAACGTTTTCCCTAGTGAAGTTTTTCAGGTTTTCCATTTCTCCCATCTACTTTAAAAATGATCTCTTTAGCCCAAAGTTTTTTTTCTTTTGCCATTATTTCATAGCAGAATAAAGTGATAATATTTAAGGGCAAAGTTTAATCCTAGACATCAATTAAAATGAATTTATAGTTTTTGTTTTTCTTTTCAAAAGGAAGTAGGCCCTGACCGGGTGGTTCAGTGGGTTAAAGTGTCAACCCATGGGACAAAAGGTCACAGGTTCAATTCCCGGTCAGGGCCCATAATCAGGTTGCAGGTTCCACCCCAGGTCAGGTTGTACAGGTGGCAGCCAACCAATGTTTCTCTCTCTCTAAAATCAGTAAACATATCTTCGGGTAAAGGTTAAAGAAAGAGAAAAACGGTAGGTTTCGACACTTACAGATGAGTGATACAATCCTAATATCACTCCTCGGAACAATCTTGGGGTTAGAGCCGGACCTGGAACTATGACTTGCCGGGCTTACACGACCTGCTCTGTGTGTGCTGGCCGTGAACAGCCTGGACCGAGGTCCAGGTTGCAGTCTGGAGCTTCCTGCCAAGGTTGCTGCAGATGAGACTTGAAGGACACGTGTTAAGTTCAGAAGCTCGGGGACAGAGAGACTTCCTGTCCTTGTTTCAACACAGCCACATCCTGTTCACGCTTTCGTTTCCTGCCTCACCTCCTGAAACCGTTGAGAAGCGATGGAAGGCATCTCTCTAGGGGCGTGAATGTTGTGTTCTGGGAGCTTTCAGCTTTTCAGCTTCCTCCTCTTTTCAGAGGAGCAGCCAGAGTGTGTCTATTTCTGTTTGATTTGAATTAGAGCTAATTGGATGGCATAATGTCTGATTGCATAGCCCTTACTTGTATATTGAATAATTTGACCCTCGTAATAACCCTTCAGGCTTACCCGTGTGGGTGGTGCATCTCACAAATATTAAAGCAAAAATTTAAGCAAACTATGCTCCATAAATTTCCTAACTTACACAAATTGTTCTTTTTGTGTGTAGTCTTTCAACTTTTGATCATATGGATGATGGATATTTTTGAATTGGCTTTTTTTTCATTGAATATTGAACAGAAACATTCTCTTTGCTTTCATATTTTTTCACAAACTTGAACAGGTACATAACGCTCCGTTGAATGACTATATTAACTTTCCCCCTCAATTTTTTTTAAACGTGTCCTTTGCTATAAAACAGATAATGCTGTAGTGAATGTCTTAGGTAACCAGCTGATTTCCTTAAGATATATAATTCCCTACCCCCGTTGAAGGGGAGCTCTGCATTTTTTTAAATGGTGCAGTTTTCAGCCTTTTCTACTAGCCCATCACATTTAGGAGGCAGGGCGGAGCCCTGAGCTAGCTCAGCGGTGTGTGTTCACCAATCGTTAGCGGTTTCCTGATGGGTGTGTGGCCGCGCACGGCTCGGAAAGGCGCAGGGCGAGGGTCCGGGCTGCGGTCCCGTGGAGTACTGTTGGAAATCAGGGTGGAAAACTGTCGGCTAACTACATGAGCAATATCAGAAAGGAGGTCATAAGGCAAACTCACCTCACAGATCCTTTCGTGTTTTCATCTTCTCCAAGCATTTCTCTGCTGCTTGAACCTGTCGGCCGTCATATACATATTACGTATAAATATTAAGTATAAAACGAGTGAACGCCCGCTGAGCGACACGCGTGCCAGGCAATGTGCGGTGCTACTTTAGCGTATTCGTTCATCCCAGACCCCAATCACACTAAAGGGTAGATGCCAGGACCCTCATTTTACAGGCAGGGGAACTGAGGAACAGAGAAATTAACGTCCACCCGACAGAGCCAGGAAGGAGGGGAACTGGGGTCCCAGCCACGGTGCACGGGCTCTTCCAAGGTCCCCGCTCGTGACCACTCTGCTCTGTTAGCAGCAACGCTGTCGGTCCGGGTGAGGTGGGCGCAGGAAGGGTTCAAGCCTCCTACCTGCAGGGCCCAGGTGCTGGCCCACGTTCCCTGGCCGGTCACCCTGCCTCGCTCCGCTCGCTCCCCGGGGCCCGGTTCTGTACAGGCCGCTGAGCCGTGGCCCTTTGAGGCAGATCGAATTCGGAAGTCGGGCTGCGGAAACTGTCCGAGGCCACACGGGCTCTTTCCAGGGACCCACGGCCCAGCGTGCACGCAGAACCATCGCCCAAGTTCAGGTGCAGTGAAGTCCTCCGAAGCCCCTCCCGAGCCCCGAGACGGACTTTCATTTCACTTTATCGGCTGCATCAGCAACAGCGCGCGCTCCTTCCCACAGGGTGAGCCGGGTCGTCACGCTCGCTGTGTTTGTGTTCCAGGCGGACTCAGCAGTTTCAAGCAGAACCATGAGAACCTCTGCGACAACTCCCTGCAGCTCCAGGAGTGCCGGGAGGCGGGCGGCGGCGCCTCCGCGGCCCCCAGCGCGCTACCTCAGCCCGTGCCCGCCACCCCCGACATCGAGAACGCCGAGCTGACGCCCATCCTGCCCTTCCTCTTCCTGGGCAACGAGCAGGACGCGCAGGACCTGGATGCCATGCAGCGGCTCAACATCGGCTACGTCATCAATGTCACCACGCACCTGCCCCTCTACCACTATGAGAAAGGCCTGTTCAACTACAAGCGGCTGCCGGCCACCGACAGCAACAAGCAGAACCTCCGGCAGTACTTCGAAGAGGCTTTCGAGTTCATCGGTAACTATCTCCCACTGGGGCATTCACCTCCTCCGCCCTCCTTTCCCCTCTGGCTTTTGCTTTGAGGTCAAGTTCAAGGTTTAATGTCTGGGTTTCCAGTAAAAAAAAAAAAGCTCACCTGAGTGGTTTTTCTGGTGGCTCTGCTGCCCGGTGCAGCCTAAGTCTTCTAAGTTGTAGCCCATCAAGTGCATTGGGCCCATCAGGATGAGTATAAAAGAACAGGGATTCCATTTGGTTGGGATCTGTTCGACAAGAAATCCTCATTCCCTCAAGTTCTCAATGACAAAGTGGTAGTGGTTTAGCAGGGATGTGTTCCACAACGTCATTTCTGTAAAATAACTGATAGGAAATAAGAAATTAGAGACCAGAGCTTAGACTGTGGCTTTCTGGTCTACCTCAGCCCCATGCAGGAAATAAAATATAGTGAGTATATTTTCCCTACCTCCAAACACACCATACCCCCTTACCTTGAGTTCAGTGAACTTGCAGCTGGGACAGCCTCTGTACATGAGGTTGAGGCAAACGCAGCCTTGCTGAAGGGTTGCTTCTGAAGAATCTACGTCAGTCAAGCAAAACACTGTAAACCTCATTCCCCGACCCATCAGTGCAGAGGAGAGACAGGACTGGAGGTAGGGAGGGAAATGAGCTGTTTTCCCTTCTACCTGCTTCTTAAACACTGGGTAGGAAAGGGCATGAATGTGGACACCAGCGAGATGGTACTGGATTTCCTGAGACCGTTTACCCAGACTCACTGAACTAGGAGACATCAGGTGGTGTAGCCCGAGTCGTTCCCAAGGAGGATCATTCTAACAGCAGCAGGCTTTAATCTCCAGAAGGAACCTTAATCCTAACTTTAATTTTTGTTGCTTCTGTAGCCTCAGACTGTGGTAAGGCACAAAGGATCACCTGGGGAACAGCTGGCATCTGGCAGATACCTGACAGTTTTTTTTTAAGCGACTCCACCTTTGTTATCACCAAGGCGTGGCCCAGTACTCTTCCTCAGCGTGGCAGCACCTTTCACTGGCCTGTGTCCTGGGGAGACTGCACTCACGTTGGGTGCCCCTCTGTTGGAAAAGAGCCTTGGGCGTAATAGCCATTGGCTCTGGTGGATTTGCTGTTGAACTGACAGCTCCAGCCACCTCGTCCTGCTGTTGTGCTTGCTAATTGTGCCTTCAGTGCAGGACCGTGAAGTATTAGTCCAGAAGGAAGTTGTGAGTGGTCACCAAACTCAGAAAAGGAAAAGTGACTTCCCCAAGGTCATAGGAGTTCTAGTGTCAGAGACAGGACCAGAACTCAGAGCCCTTGGCTCCAAGGCCAGGGCCCTTCCGTGGTAAGCTGGGGCCAGGTTGACGATGCCCCATTCATTCCTGACTGGCAATAAACGTGAGTGCAAAGGTCACTTACATTCTTTTAACATCTGAAGCAAACCTTGAGCCCCAAGGAAGAAGTGTTTGTTGTCATCACGTAGATGAGGAACTCCCTGGTTGGTACACGATGTTATGGATGCAATTCTTCTGACCTAATTCCAGTTGAGGGAAGTTAGGAAATTGTTTCTCTTGAGTGAGTAGCATGAGATGTGCTCCCTCTAAGAGGAGCCCCTGCAAAGCACCCTCATTCCTTGGGGTATCCAGGCTTAGCTGCTTTTTCAGACGGAGAACAACCAGTACCAAATGGCATTTAACCTGAAAGACAAATCTGGCTGGCAGCCTGCCCAGGCTCAATTTTATTGTCATTGTTACGTCATTGAGTAAACTGGAATCTTCTAGTTGCTCTGAAACCTGCCCAGTTGCTTTTGGACAAACACGCACATTTTATGAACATAATCATTCACCCCAAGCCTAAGGAGCCTGACTGCACAGGGCCTAGGTTCAGGGTTTAACTATGCCGTTTATTTCTTAGTTGGGTGATATCATTCCCATGATCTCTGAGACTGGCGAGTTGGTATTATTCCCATTAGGCAGACAGAAGGTTTGAGGCTCGGTGGAGCCAGGTGACTCCCACAGGCCCACTCACCTAGCGTGTAGTGGGAACAGTGGTCCAACCCAGCACTCGGTAGCCCCTCTCCATAACCACCATGCCTTCCAGTCTCAGTGTGGCGCTAGGTACGTAGTGTGTGCCAAACAGAAGACATGGAAAGAGGGGCCTACTTTCTCGAAGTACTTTTTCTATGAGAAGTAAGCCCGATCTACAGATTTTTAAGATGAAAATTTGCACAGCAAAATGAAGGTTTTTTTCCATTTTTTGATGCTTTAAGTTAAATCACGACTCCCCTTACCCTGCTGTTCTTTCCAGCTCTGCACCTGACTGGTACCAACCGCTTCAGGGACACTTTCTTGGAGATGCCTTTTAGTCTAGAAGCATCACTAGGAATCTATTCAGGCAGTGCCCACAAGCTATTCTCCTGAGCTGTTAGTATTGAGTATATCTGAAAGGTAGGAAGTCTGACCCTTTCCAGTTGCTCTGGGTTCCGATCCATCGCTGAAACGCCTCCAGCTTTTAAGTCATAGCCGTGTACCAGAGGCTCCCATGGGTGAGGGGTTAACAGTTCAGATGTAGGTGGCCCCTGTGCCTGGGGACCGCAGTCCTCAGCTGCCCTTACAGCACGGTTTTCCTGTAAGAAGCTGAACACAGTAACTTTCTGTTGACTTTTGTTCCTGTAACCTCGGTCTTAGTTTAGCAAGACCAAACTTCTCATTTATTCTCTATCAGTTCCTGTACAGAGCCATTATATAGCAGAAGGAAAGAACTGGTTTGTTTTTTTTATCTATCACAGGTGGGAGAGTTGTTGTTAGTAACTCTAGTTTTGATAAGTCCCACAGTTTGGCAGTTGGAATAAAGATCCTTAATCAGAAGGATCTACTGAGTAGCTTGTTTAACATGGCAATTAATTGTTATTGTGGCTTGTGCTATCACCTGTGAAGTAAACTGGTACTGAATAATTCCTTCGCCTCCTTTTCTCTTTAAATGTAGAAATGCAGCATCTGATTTATGCCAAGATTGCTTTTAGCCAGTTCTGGAGGTTGTGACATAAACATACACAATGAACCATCAAATTATGCTTGAGCCGAAAACCATTTTAATATATTCTATCTCTACAAACTGTGGCATGGCCAAGGCCAGATGAGAGTTAACTCACTCTTCCCATCACTGTCTCCCTCCCTTCACCTCTCACCTCTCTCCCTTTTTCCAGAGGAAGCTCATCAGTGCGGGAAGGGGCTTCTCATCCACTGCCAGGCCGGGGTGTCCCGCTCTGCCACCATCGTCATCGCTTACTTGATGAAGCACACTCGCATGACCATGACTGATGCTTATAAATTTGTCAAAGGCAAACGACCAATTATCTCCCCGAATCTCAACTTCATGGGGCAGTTGCTGGAGTTTGAGGAAGACCTGAACAACGGGGTCACGCCGCGGATCCTCACTCCAAAGCTGATGGGCGTGGAGACGGTCGTGTGACACCAGCCGCCTGGACAGGAGGGGCTCCTGTTCCCCATCAGGAGATGCGATGAAGAGGAAGGAGAATGGAGCCTTTCTTTGCTTTTTCTTCTTCTTTTTTTTTTTTTAAGATGGGGATACAGTTTGTGAATGGAGACAAACTGGTTTAAAAACTTATTTTTAACAAGTGTGAGAAGAATTTAATTTTTGACGCCCATTGAGATTTCCCTCCCAAGAACTGACAAAGGAGGGAAGCTAATGAAGTCCTTTTTTTAAGCCAACAATAAACATATAATAAAACTCGTTTCTTCCCCTTTTCATTTGAAGCTCTTTGTAGCATTTATGATTATATAGTCTGTGCAGGTTCATAGACCGAATATACTACCCTTTCAACCAATGTAAAAGAACCAAAAGTAAGTAGAAAAGACATTGAATCACAAAGACCCAGGATCTCCGTGGGCCATTCATGCAGAAAACAGAAACCCAACCAAACCGAGCCCGGTGTTGCTCACCCACACTGTGCACAACCGGGGCAGCTTGTGCGGTCGAAGAAACCTCCACGTTCTGGAAAGAGACAAAGGATACTGTTGATTTTGTGTGTTTCATACTCTGAATTATTATATTTTTCCCTTTCTGGGTTTAAGAGATTTTTCTTTTTGAAATAGCAAGGGACTGACCATTGTACCATATGCCTTCACTTTGCAATACAAGGGTGTTTTGAGTGGACAAGTTACGGCTGGCGGCCAAATGATAGGCAAATAGTGCGGATGTGCCAGCTTGGAGATAGAAAGGAATTAAAACTGATTACTTTCCTCCCCACCTTTTCCCTTTGTTTAATTTTTTTTTTTGGATTTGATTCTGGTTACAGTGCCATAACCCTTGTTACATATGTATATCAGAATGTAAAAAAAAAAAGACAAAAATTTATTTAAAAATATTTTTTGCAAAAAAAAAAAAAAACACTGGGTGTGTTTCTGTTGATTGTGTAAAAATTTATTTTCATTATATAAATGAAACTCATCTTGGGACGTGTCTTGTTTCCGCCTCTTTTCCTCCATGTGGGGTCAAGCATGTCTGACTTCTGGTCATTTGTTCATGTCACATAACTGGGAAGGAACACACATTTTTCTAGGGAAATAGAGATGAGGAGGCAAAAATGTTCTCTGCCCTCAGTGCGATACAGAGAGAAGGAATCAGGAGGCAGGGTAGCTCCGGTGGCCCACCTCTATCCCCACAGCTCCACATTTGAAATTCCTCTGAGGCCGGGAAGTGTCGACTAAGTCACATTGAGGAATGAGGGGTTTCTATACCCTCCGAGCTTGGCTCATCAATCAGGTCACTGACTGATGGATTGGGTAGAATCCCATGCTCTCCCCAGAGTCTCTTTGATAACTATTTGTGACAATCTGCCATTTGGGATTCCTTAAGGTCGCCCCCCCATCCCTCTCTTGCCATTTACTCACTTGACATTTTTAGTGACATTAACGATGGAGTGTGCACTACAGCAAATATCCGTTTCCTACGCTTTTTGCCAGCAAACTGAAGTCAGCTTCAGCAGGTACAGCTTCCCGACCTCACTGGGTCAATACGTAGCTTGCATTCCATGGGCCTCCAGCCCATGGACGAGTGGGGGTGGGCATGGGGGAGGCATACAGTCCAGGCGTTTCTACATCTTATGACAATAGCTGTCCAGGGGACCTTGACCTCCGGGATGATTCACAGCAGACTGAAACTTGCGGAAGGTAACACAGTTAAGGGTTCGGGTCCGTCTGATTCTATATCAATACATTTGGCATAGTTTTGTGGCCATTTGCTTACAAATGTTATAATGAAATATTTTTGACGTTTACTTTTTAAAAAAATACCTTTTCTACTAGAAGTGACTTGACTGTTTCCCTTATTAGAAAAGTGGAGCTGGAAGTTAACAGGCATTAACCTAGGGCTGTTCTGAATTATTTGCATTTACCACAGTGTTAGTGAAAAGTAAATCTCTCATACGGTTATTTTATATTCTTCAGACTAATAACTGGTGGCAGGGCATGTTTAAGGAGTTGGGTGGGTCTGTAGTTAGTGATTTAAAATATCTAGACATTTCCTTTAAAATTTACTACACATTTCTTTTTGTGGATTCTAAATCCAAATATTCAATTTCTGATAGAATGTAAGACGTATCCCCTTTTTTCCTTTTTCTTTTCAAACACACAAGGAAAATGAATACAATTTCTCTTCTTTAAATATGTGAACATGATTTATGTTTTTTGAACTTTCTGACTTTGAGAGAGAGGCAGTCCTAGGGGCAGGAATCTTGCCAGCCAGCATACCAAGAATTCTGAGAGAGACTCAGGTCTTTTTTGCTAATCTGTTGTGAGTCACTTAGCCTCCATTTCTTCATGAGGAATGTTAACCATTTCATGAAAATAATAATGGATTAACCAAGACATCGCCCTAGAAACCAGACCCCGCCCCCGCCCCGGCTTCTGGGTCTTGCTGGGTATCTGGGAGCTTTTGAGTTGAGCTGGGAAATAATTTGAGTATCTTCTTCCCGAGAAAGCAGAGTCTCTGGCCAGTGAGGGCCTCATTCTCAGAGTCTACCCAGCAAGGCTTGTTTCATGCGGAATGACTTTAATGGCTTCACAGAATGAATTTATAACATATCTAACTGGAATAAAAACAGACACAGAAGACACTGTCACCGTAAGTTCAACAGCATAGCAGCTCTGGCTTCTGTATGTAACTTTATGTCAACGGTTAATACCTTTGCGACGGAGGCAGGTTAATGAGGATGTAGAGTTCACATTTCACAGGAGAGCGTGTGCTACTTTTGGGTGAGGACAGGGAGGGCGGGGGTAGAGCAGGGGACGAGACGTGCCTACGGGGTGCCATGTATATAGCCCAGCAATCACGTTTTTCTGCTGACAGAAAAATGCGGAACGGCGAACTTCTGAAAGGGCCACAAATCATGGGAATAGGAGAAAGTGGGATTTGATAGTAAAACACAAAGAATTATATCCGAGCGGAGACCTGAATCACACTTCACCAGTTGACGATGACGGAACGCTATTGCCCTGACTCCGTCTTCTGGAGGCCGAGACAGCATAGGTATCGAGCAACGTGAACAGACTCTGGTAAATAAGCCACAATACGTTACGTTTCGGTGCTATTCCCTGAACACGGAGCAGCTAATCTCAGGAAAGGTGGGCTGGTGTTTGCTTTCAAGCTCTAATTGGAGACCGTTGTTACTCAGGGGTGAGTGTGGAAGGGAGGGCCAAAAATGACTATTAAGGATGGGCAATGATACAGTATTCAGAAAAACTGTTTAAAATTAAATGTCTGTAGAAGATGTCCTGCCTTTCTGGAGGTGATAGCCCACGAATGCCAATGCTTTTTGTGGCCCCTGGTTTCCTCTGCTGTGACAACCTTGCTCAGTGGTACACAATACACGTGTCAGGGTTTGACCAGAAGGAGAAACACAGAGAAGCAGAATGGGGGGTTCATTCTAGGCATCTGGAGGAGAAGTCCATGAAGTGTGTTGCCTCTGTGTCTGATGATGGGCTGGTCTCTGGGGGTCAGCAAGGCTAACAGGGAGAAAAGCTAGGCGCGAAGCAGAGGAGAGCGAAAAAGAATGGAATTAGGAGGGAAAGCAAGAATCCACTCTTGCCTTTTACTGACCTCCACAATGTGGGTGACTTTGGAGAAGGATCTCGTGCCCTTTGCCACGGAGCTGAACATGGACCTGGTGCAGGACTTGCAAAATCGAGGGAGGAGTTCCGGAGGGAGCCCTAAGAGCTGCAGTCACTGCTGTAGCCCTAAGTCAAGGTCAACCGCCAGGTCGGTGCACAGGTCCACTAGTGCCTAGTGCCCAGTCCGGAGTATAATGGCTGCTGCTTTCTGTATACCTTCCCCATCTCACACACGTTTCTCCTCAGGCCTACCTTAATGCAGTGTGAAACAGGAAAGGGAATTCTGCAAAATGCACTCTCTGATTTAGCTAAGTCAATGCTGTACCAGACACCACAGTCCACCTGTGCCAATTTGGCATCTAGCTACACTCCTTGGAGCCGTACATAACTTCCAAACGGACATTAGAAAATGATGTTTGCACCTAATAAGATGCAACTATCACTTCTCTGGTTGAAACACACGAACACTCTCTCCAAAAGGAGCTTTGCAGCCCCGGGTGCGACATTGTCCATTCTTGGGTGGTTTCATTCCCCTTTTGTTTGAGACCCAGTCTCCCTTCAATGTCCCATAATTGAAGTACATGAAATATGAGGACATTATACACGGCATTGTGTTTGCCAAAGAAGATGTTTTTGAAATTTTATGCCCCAGCCCTTGTACATGTGATCGTATTTGAAAACAGGATTTTTTGCAGATACAGTAAGGTTTTAAAGAGCTCATCCTGGAGTAGGACAGGCCCTTAGCCAATCACTGGCTTTCTCAAAGAAGATGGAAAAACTGGACACACAAAGAAATGAAGGCCACGGGCTGAGGGAGACAGAGAGCAGAGGGGTGCAGCCCCAAGCCAAGGACAGCAAAGGTTGCTGGCTATCTCCAGACGCTAGGAGAGAGGCACGGAGCAGGTTCTCCCTTGGAGCCTCCAAAAGTAAGACTGACACTTTGGTTTGGGATTTGTCACCTCCACACTGTAGGGGAATCAATTCTGTTGTTTTAACCCATCTGCTTGGATGAAAACCCTCCACATGAAAGTGGAAGAGGTGTCCTTTGTTCTGACATACTTCTGTCTCCTCCGAGGGTAACGGTAATGGAATTCCCCCTTGGGAGCAACATCATCCCAGCCAGTGCATCACCCCATGCTTTGCCTGTTGGTCCTTGTTTCTTTTTTAATCCTACCCGAGGATATATTTTAATTGGTTTAGGAGAGAGAGGAAGGGGGAGAGGAAGAGAGAGAGAGAGAGAGAGAGAGAGATCTATTTGTTGTTCCATCATTCATGTACTCATTTGTCAACTCTTGAGTATGCCCCGACTGGGGATAGAACCCACAACGTTGGCCCATCTGGACAATGCTCTAATCAGCTGAGCCGCCTGGCCAGGGCGGCTTACTCTTGGCCAGGCGAATGAATAAGTGAATAAGCTTACTCTTATTCACTCCCCGGCCAGACGCAAGGCCAGCAGCCTCCCGGAGGGCACTTTTCAGATTTGAATGTTCATCCAGACATCCCAGGGACCTTGTTCAAAGGCAGGTTCTGGTTCAGAACATCAGAGGCCCCAGATCCACTTTCCTACCACACTGGCGGGGGGCAAAGCTGGTGCCCTGAGCACCACAATGGGAGCAGCAAGCCTCAGAAGCCGCGTTTCACACAGAGGTGATCACCAAGGAGATGAGCGGCCACAGTTGCTCAGGATGGCTCTTTCTGGGACCTACTGCGGGCTCTGCCCTGGGGTCCCTTGTTACTCTCCAGCCAATGCTTAGAAAGTAGAGATGACAATAAAATCTGTGGAATGGAAAAAATACCCGTTTTTTTTTTTCCCCTCAACCACTCAGCAATATCATGGAAAAAAACTTAATTTTTTAAAAGTTGTTCTTGTCAAATGTAAAGTTCAGACTCATGGCACTGCCTCCATCCTAAGCTGAACTGTCCTTTTCAATGGGCTGGTGATAAGCCTGTGGCTTCGAAGCCAGGCTCATAAATGTCAGAGAGCTTCCCAGGGGCTGATGTGGTTTTTCACCCTGCTGTTGGATCTGCTCGCCTGTGTGGGGCTAAAAGGCTGGGGTATTTATTTAACTTTAGCGAAGCAACACCCAAATCCTCCAGATGGAAGCTAAATCCCCCTTTTACTGCTCTTCAGCTGTGTATGCTCAGCCCGGCACAGATGTGGCGGTACTGGGCCACTTCTCCTATATTTAACATGGCCCCTATTCCCCCCAGGTCTCTGAGCGAGGAGGGCTGGGAGCGGTTCAAGTTCCCCACATAGAAATAGCCCCAGAATAGTCCCAGTGTTGTTTCTAATTGCCATGGATGAGCCGACTGTATC